TATTGTTCTAAGAACTTTTAACAACTAATTCATTTTGTGTATTATAAATATTCAAATCAACTATAAAGGACCTATGAAGGAAGATGCTATCCATCTCCAGAGAAAGAACTGATAAGACGTATGCATAGTATGGTTTTACATATATTTATAAAACTAAGTCAAATAGTAGCCTTCTCTAGTGCCGGGTGGGGAGGGAGGGAGACAGTTTGGAACATAAAATGTAACAAAAAATAAATAAAATTAATTTTTAAAATACAACTCAAATACCACCTCCTGCTAGAGACCTTTCACACTTTCAGCAACTACTAAAGCTTTACCCTTTCAGATTATTTTCATCTACTTTATATGTATTTAGTTATTTACATGACATCTCCCCCATAAGAATGTAAGCTCCAGGGGCAGCTAGGTAGCACAGTGGATAGAGCACTGGCCCTGGACTCAGGAGGACCTGAGTTCAAATCTGGCCTCAGACACATAACACTCACTAGCTGTGTGACCCTGGGCAGGTCACTTAACCCCATCACTTAAACAAAAAAGAAAGAATGTGAGCTCCTTGAGGGCAAGAACAGTCTTTTTGTCTTTCTTTGTATCCCTAGCACTTAATACAAAGTCTAGAACATAGCAACTGCTTAATAATGTATTGACAAATAATGAAGTACTGAACTCCATGTGCTGAACTCCATTTTGTTTTCTGACCTTCACCTTGTATGCCCTTCTTCAGGAATTAGGAGTTCCCACCTTAGAAAACCCGCCAAGAAAGATACCCGCCCCAATCTTATTCCATGATCCTTATATGGTCCCAAAGGCAGGATTAACCAATCGCTTGTTTGGCTTCTGTAACTTCCCCCTTACGCAACCCCTGACCGTTTCCTCTGTGGCCTCTGCCTTTATAAACTCAAGCTCTGCCCCTGATCGGGGCTGCTTGATTTGGGTGTGCGTACCCCTTGCAGCCGCCCGCTAATAATACTACTAAGCCTGTACCCCAAAGAGGTCAAAGAAAAATAAAAGTACCCATATGGACAAACATATTTATAGCATCTCTTTTGGTGGTGCCAAAGAACTGGAAATTGAGGGGATGCCCATCAAATGGGGAATGGCTGAACAAGGTATGGTATAATGATTACAACTGAATACTATTGTGCTATAAGAAATGATGCAGGGAATGGTTTCAGAAAAACCTGGAAAGATTTATACGAACTAATATAAGGCAAAGTGAGCAGAACCAGGAAAACACCGTGCACAAGTAACAGCACTATTGAAATAGTGATCAACTCTCCAAGACTTAGTTACTCTGATCAATACAATGATCAACAGACTCCAGAGACAGAACTGATGAGCTCTGAGTGCAGAATGAACATGGCTAATATGGAAATATGTTTTGCATAACCTCACATGTATAATGGGTATCATATTATTGCTTGCCTTCTTAATGGGTGGAGAAGGGACTGGAGGGAGCAAGAAATTGTAGGGCATCTTGTTGTCACAAAAAGGTCAGTAGTCTAGGTCTGTTTAAATACAAAAGAACAATATGGACATTTCTACTACTCAACAGGACTCCAGTGATTTAAGCTCCAGATTTCTCCTACTAAATACCAATATTTATAGAGAATTCAAGAGTAAATTATCAGTATTTAAACAGTCGAGCAATTAACAAAAGCTTATAAAATTAAATCAACAGAACAAACTTCTGAGGGAACATTCACCAGAAAAAAGAAATGACTACACAATTACAGCCTAAAATAATAATAAATTACCAAATTTTTCTAGGATGTCACAATCTAGAATGTCTACAATTAAAATCAGGCAGAGAATCTATGCAGGAGTGCGCACAGAAGAGAAAGGGCCCAATTTTATCCCATATCAAGATTTGCATGTAACAGTATGTCTCAAACTCAGGGAAATGTTTTTGTACCAAATGGTTTTATACCAAAAAAAAGGTTCTTTTTTTAGCATGAACTTTGCAAACGCAACAAAGATGAACATTTTGATATACAAAAAACAGACAAAGATGGTTGTACACAAAACTGTGAACTTCTATTACAGAGTTTTATTTAAGCATATATTAAATTTAACATGGCAGTACCAATACTGCCTTGCTTGTCTGTACCTTCTTCTGAATATCCTTCTGCTCTCCGGTATATTTTTGTACGTTTTTTTCTTGCTATTCAGCCTATCTTTCTAGGCTGATTACACATTAGGGAAGAGGAAGAGAATAAGCATTTTATAGCACCTACTATGTGCCAGGCATTGTGTTAAGCACTTTACAAATATGATCTCATTTGTTCCTCACAACAACCCTGGGAGTTAGGTTATCACCCCCCTTTTACAGATGAGGAAATCGAGGCAGATAGCAGTTTAGTGGCTTGCCCAGGATTACATAGCTAGTAGGTGTCTGAGGCCAAATCTGAACTCAGGTTTTCCTGACTCCAGGTCCAACACTCTAGCCATAAACCTACAATGTGAAATACACGTACTGTAGGTTACGTGTGACCACATGACTCTGTCTAGATGGAGCTTGCAGTGAACAGCTCTCTCTAGAATCTCTTCCATGCACCTTTTTCCAAGGGAGATTTTTATTACTGTGACAAGGAGAAGAGGAGGTTGGGGCCAAAGGCTGGCCACTCCATTCTCCTCAGAGAAAGTGGACTGGGCTGTAATCATATTTCTATACTCTACTCCCCCCAAAAAATACTTTTAGTTTATGGGAGATAATTTTTAGGTTCTGGCTAAGCTCTTGCTATCTCTCTCTTAGTGAGGAAAGAGTGTCCCAAGGTATATAACCAAGGATGGATTCCCTTGGCTCCCCAGAGGAAGACCTTAGTTCCAATACAGCCTCAGATACTCTCTGTATGACCCTGGACTGTCTGTCTCAGTATCATCAACTATAAAATGGAGATAATAATAGCATCTACCTCCCAGAGTTGTGAGGATCAAATAAGATATTTCTAAAATGCTTGGCATGCATTTTAGGCACTTAATAAATGTTTACTTCCTTCTTTTCCAATAAATGCCAGTTCCACAATGAACACACAGACCAAAAAGTAAATCATCCATTTATCTAAATGCACAGCAAATAGAAATTAGAGAAGGTGCATACCTGAAGAAAAGAACATACCTGATGACTCAACTAACAGAGAAAGAGTGCAGCCTCACTTTCCGCTACCCAGTTAATAACTATTCCAATGATTACCTCAAGTGAGCGCTAGTCTGAGTAATGATGAGAAAATAAAGGACAGGGTAACAAATTCAAACCACAGGGAAGTGACCAGGGCAGGAATTGTGGAACCAGGGTGGTCCAGAATGCTGTCAGCTCCTCCATTCTTTGAATGATTTATGGAAAATCTAATATTAAACATCAATATAACCTTTTAGACATGATTTCAACTTCACTTAAGGAAATTTATTTTGACACCAAAAAATTACTTAACTTTTTGGTGTCTACAAGTCTCCATCAGGGTTCTTTGTTCATTCCCATTCACCTTTTCAGAACTAATTGAACCATTCCCCTCCTTGCTGGATATTGAGGTTTCTTCCTGGGCTTTGCCATTACAAATAATAGTTCTATGAAAAACTTTGGAACTGACAGCTCTTTTATTGTTTTGTTTTGCTCCTGATAACACCTTCAGGGCCTATCTCCAGTGATTAAATTGTTGGGTCAATGGGTATGATTTAGGTGGGGTGGTGGTGGTGTATTTTTACTGTCTATTGTCAGGTTGCTCTCCATAAAGATTCTACAAGTTTGCAACCTCACCAGTAGCAACCTAGTGTCCCCCTTCCTTTCCTTCTGTCCCCTCATTTCATTATTTTTAATTTTGTACCTGAAAATTGTCAGACTATTGGAACAATTTTTTCCATTATTTTCAAGTGCTTCCTTCCTTTTTTATTTTTTTAGGCAATCAGGGCTAAGTGACTTGCCCAGGGTCACACAGCTATTACGTGTCAAGCGTCTGAGGCCGCATGTGAACTCAGGTCCTCTTGACTGCAGGGCTGGTGCTCTATCCACTGCTCCACCTAGCTGCCCCTAAGTGCTTCCTTTCTTGAAAAGTGTCTGTTCATATATATTCCTCGATCATTTATCCATTATGTAATAGGATTACCTTTGTATATTTTTACAAGTTCTCTATATCAATTTGGGATATATTTCAATCTGTGGTATTTGCTGTCAGTATTTTTCCTATTTTTTTCATTTTTGTTATATTGATTTTGCCATGTAATTTTACATCTCATGTAGTCAAGCACAACTATTCTGTGCTAATATAATAGCTTCTATTTGTTGAATAGTCACCTCACATCCACTTTGTTCCATTTGCTTCTATTTTTTTATGTTTACAGAGTGGGCACTCAATGTCTGTCGAATTAAATTATACGGTGTTTTTGCCCCTTTCTGTTTATCATCGAGTTCAATTCATTGACGCAGAGAGTGAGAACCGAGGAGCTAAATTCCTTTCCAGCCAAACTGCCGATCATGACCAGGTTTCTCAAGTAGGTCTGTGAAATAAGGAATTCTTTCCTTGGGTAGTTTTTAAAGCTATATCAAACACTAATGTTTTGTGGACATTTGTTTGGGGGTTCCTATTTCTCTGTCCTCTCATACCGATGGTTTGCCAAGATAATCACTGAGTAATGCTTTTTCTTATTTCTCCACGTAGGTTTCTTTATGATTTTATGTAACCCTGCAAAGAATTCTCTTGGCTTTACGGTTGGCACAGCTTTCTGCTGAGGGAAAGTTTGAAAGGTTCCCTTTACCAAGGCTTTGTTAAGCAGTCAGTCGGTTTGCAAGCCTGTGAGGGCCAAAGACCTGGTGGGAAAGGGAAGGTTCACGGGGGGCGGGCCTTGGATGCTGCACCCTCTGAGCTGAGAGGGTGCCTTTTCCGTGAGCGACATCTAGAGCGTGACAGGAGCCGGCCAATGCCAGTAGTGCCAGGAGGAAGGGGAAGGGGCGGGGCCGCAGCTCGACCTCGCAAACCCCTGGGGGGCGCTGCACACTCCACCACTGCCCCCTGGAGTGCGCAGCTCGAGCTCCCACTTTGGACGAAGAAATTAGACGACGATGGCAGCTACCGCATCGGAGGCGCCGGAAGCCTCGGCCCAGGCCCAGGCCCAGGCCCAGGCCCAGGCCCAGGCCCAGGCCCAGGCCCAGGCCCAGGCCCAGGCCCAGGTCCAGGCCCAGGTCCAGGCCCAGGTCCAGGCCCAGGCCCAGGATCAGGTCGAGGTCCCAACAGAAGAGGAGGCAGCAGAGGCAAAAGCAAAAGCAATGGAGGAAGCCGCGGCCGCCGCCTCCCCTGCGAATGAGGGTGAAGTTCTGGAGGCCCAGGTCATCTCCGCTCCACAGAAGGCGGTGAGTACGGAGCGGAGCCCTGTCCCCCCAGTGCCCGAAGTTCCTTCGACATCAGCGGCATCCTCAGCTCAAGATCCAGCGGCGGCGGTCACAGTGGACGCTCCCAGGAAGCGCCGCGGCAGCCGTGCGTTCATCGACATGTCTCTGGGTGAGTGGACCGGGCGAGCTGGGACGGGAGCGGGGAGGGGCAACCGCGGCCTGCTGGCCCTTTCCGATCCTCAGTCTTTCCTGGGCCTCCGGGCCCTGTAGGAGCTTTCTTCCCACCCCAGAGGAGACCCTGGGCGGGGCGGGAGAGCCAGGCGCTCGGATTGCCCAGGGCCTCCGGCCAACTGCCCGGTAGCTGGTGACCATACCCGCTTAGGCCTCCGCCCCGCCCCTTTGGCCTGCGCGGCTCTGCTTGTCAGGAAAGCCCGGGGCTTGGTCGCGGGCTTTCGGGGGTAGTCATCTAGTGGCTACCGCGGCCCTTAACCTTAACCTTAACCTTGGCCGCCGCCGCCGCCGCCTCCCCCTCCTCCTCCTCCTCCTCCTGCCTCTCCCCTGCCCCCCACCACCTCGTGCTCCCGAGGGGAGTAAAGGAAAGGGCTGAAGCAAACGAAAGGCCCTTGAAAACAGCCCCCAAAATACTTTTGGGGTTTAGCAGAGGAGTTGCCGCCCAAGCACATGGCCTGGGTGCCTTCTCAAAAATGTTTCAAGAACCAGTTAGGATTCGTTTCTGGAATTTTTAAAGGGCTTTTTGAAAGTTAAAGTAACTCTTTCAACTTCAAATGGCGTCGATAAGCTTTACATGGTGTCTTTTTGGAAATGGCGTTTTTGAACCTAAAATAGTGTTTTCAAACTTAAAGTAACGTCTTCGAACTTAAAATGGTGTGATAAGCTCTAGATGACGTCTTTTTTTTTTAAATGGCAGACACAAAATGCCTTTGTTTTCTCAGCCATTTTGTGAGTTGTTTGTGGGGTGGATGAACAAGCTTTGCTTTTCAGCCACTGTACGGTTCTTTTTTCTTTTTTTTTTTCTTTGATTTTTTTTTTTTTAACCTTACTCTTCCTTTGTAGCCTCCTTGAGATTCTGGTGTAGGATATTGGTTCAAATCTGAGGTTCAGTAGTAGATGATCATGGGCTGTCCCTTCTCTTTGGGTCTTACTTTTCTCCTCTATAATATGGGCTTTTTTTTTTTACTACAAAAAAATCATTTATTGCCTTTTTCCTCTGGAAAAAAAAATCATTTATAAGATCAGGTGTATGCATGTAAAAAAATATGCAAAACATAGTTTTAAGTTTAATATGCATTATTAGCATACTTTTCATCACCTTCTTAAATCTAGACAATCAAAATGACAATAACCAAGCCATGATGTGTAGCATTTGCTGATTTCCCTGGTGTAAATGCTTACTTTGAAAATTTAACAGTCTATTTTCATGATCGGTATGAGCTGACTCCAGCAATGATATGATGCAAATATGTTACTAATAAGTCACTTATTACTTTAATGAATTATTCTGCACATAGATCTATATCCGTGTTTATGACTTAAAACACGTAACTCCTAGCAGACAGGCTCCCAACATAGGGATCGGTGCAACTCGGTGCTCATTAAGTATTTTTTTAAAAAGTCATCCTGGGAGTGAGGGGGAGAAAAATTTAAAACTCAGAAGCTTACAGAAGTTATTATTGAGAAATCAAAATAAATTAATAAAAAAAGAAATGCTGAAAACATTTTAAAAAATAAAAAATAGTCATCCTATCTCATTTTTATAAATTACTTCACAGCAATATAGACTGCTTTCTTCACTACTATAGTGCAACTATTATTAGCCTGAATTTATAAATGAAGGAAATACCAGAGGTTATGGGCTTTTCTAACTAAAATATGTTATCCTGAAACTCCAGCCATTTTTTTAAAGAAATCTAGAAACTTAAAAAAAAATATATCCAAGCAGAGCCTTTGCATATAGAATGAAAAGATTAATGACCAAAGTGCTGCATCCTGATAAACATGAAAAATAGATAGAGGCCACGACTGTAAACTGGTCCAGTGCTTCAAAGTTATTGAATCTCTGAACTCTCAATGCATAACCCACATTATTGAGATTGGAGAAGACATAAATTTGTGATGTAAAGATTTGCATTTCTGAGGTTCACTAACTAATGAGAGCTAGCCAATGGGCTTAACTTAAGAAAGCAGTGGAAAGAGGTTTTAAGCAATTCAAACAGAATTCAGGGACTTAAAATTTTCAGAAATGGAAGCTGCTAAGTACAACTTAATGCATCTTGGAGATCCCATATTTTGAAGTTGGTTGTAATAAGACCAGGTTTGGAAAGATGTTAGTGGAATCTTCTACTTGAAAGTTAGGTACAGAGTTAGGGTTATAAACAACATTTTTTTTTTTTTGGGGGGGGGCTAGGCAGTGAGGTTAAGTGACTTGCCCAGGGTCACACAGCTAGTGTTATGTATCTGAGGTCAAATTTGAACTCAGGTCCTCCTGAATCAAGGGTGGGTGCTCTATCCACTGCACCACCTACCTGCTCCTAGAAACGGGATTTTTAAAGCAAGGAAATTAGAAACAGAGTTAGAAAAGTAATTAAAAGCAGGGGAACAGAGTTAGAAACAAGGTTAGATACATGTTAAAGCCTTCCTTCAAACTCCCATAAAACATCTGCCTCTTCAGTGTCTTAAAAATAGTATATCACTTGCCATTGATTGGGCTTGAGCTTACCTGGAAAGGATGATTTGGAAGGGGGGAAAGGAAAGAACTCCAGGCAGGAAGAATAACACATTTAAAGTCTCAGAGATAGAATTATGCCTGGCACCAACATGACTGACTGAAACTTAACTGGGATACAAAGAGCATTAAGTGGGGCAGCTAGGTGGCCCAGTGAATAGAGCTCTGGCCTTGGAGTCAGGAGGACCTGAGTTCAAATCCACCCTCAAACACTACTGGCTGTGTGACCCTGGGCAAGTCACTTAACCCGGATTGCCTCACCAAAAAAACAAAAACAAAACAAAGAGCATTAAGTGTCAGTGTAGGAGTAGCATACGTAAAGAATACCTACATTTGGAAATAAGGACCCAAATCAAAACCTTCCCATTGCTACTTTACTGCATGGATGACTTTGGACAAGTAAGTTAACCTCTCTGTACCTCAGATTCTTCATTAGTAAAATGGAGGAGTTTGATTAGATGACGTGTAAAGTCTCTTGCAGCTCAAAATATTATGATCCTAACACACACAAAAATAAGGATATGGACACTCAGATAATGGAGAAGCTTGAAAGCCAGGAAGAGAAATTTGATCTTGCTATAACTGAGCCATTTGAGGTTCTTGAGCAATAGAATGACATAACAAAAGTTCTAGTTTGGGAAGATGAACCTGGCAGGGCTAATCCAAGTGTGAGGTGAGGAGACCCAGGACTGAGGTGACAACCGCTGGATTGGGGGAGGAGGCATTTAGAAGGATGTAGGGATAAAGGAGAGAAGTGAATTACTAGAAGATTTTTTAGTTTAGTTCTCGCTGGAGATTCATGGGGTTTTATGCTGGAAGGAATCTTAAAGCTCACCTGGGTTAACCACTTTGTTGCATTGTTTCTTTTCCTCATTTTTATTTTATTGATGCTGTTGGTTTTCTGCACCACAGTCACTTCCCAATCCCCCTGCTCTCTCCCTCCCCAAAGAAAAACTGTTAAGCAAAAGCAACCATCCTAGGGCCCACCTCTGCTGGGTGTGTGAAATTCCACACCTCTAGTCCAGGGCTTCTTAAATTTTCCCCACTCTGGACCCCTTCAGCGCTTCCTAAACTGTGGGTCGAGACCCCATATGGGTCTAGTCCACCACCTCCCTCCCAAGGAGAGGGAAGCATATTTCATCTTCAGTGCTCTGGAACCAAGGTTGGTCTTTGCGTTTAATCTCAATTCTAACGTCTTTTTATTATCAATTCTATTTACTTTTTGTAGTCACTGTATATATCATTCTTGTGACTATTTGCTCTGTGTCATTTCACACAAGTCTTTCAATGACTTCCTCTAAGTCCTCATCTCTTATGCTGTGATAATATCCCATTCGATTCCTATTTCACAGCATGTTGCCATTCCTCTGTCCATGGATATCTGTTCCAGTATGACCATGCCTAGGGATCAGGGGATGAGAGGGCATGAACAATTTATTAACTTTGCATGCAGAATTCCAAATGATTTTCCAGAAAGCTTGCACCAATTCATAGCTTCTACCAGTGCATTAATGTGCCTGTGTTCTCACAGCTGCTTCAGGCATTTTGCTGGGTGTGAGGTGAAAGCTCAAGGTAGTTTAATTTGTGTCCCTTATTATTAATGATTTGAAGTATGTTATCATATGAGTGATAACTTCTAGTTCTTCCTTTCTAAACTCTTTCTTCATAACCATTGCCCACTTATCTGCCAGGCAGTGGCTCACATATTGTACTGTGGATGTCAGGCTCTCACCAGAGATGCTAGATGCAAAGATTGTTTTTCATACTACATTGCCCCTGTTCTAGCTGTTTTGATTTTGCAGGGGAGAAAAGTTTTGTAATTTTATATAATCCAAAAAGCCTACTTTGTCTTTTGTGATACATTGTTTGGTTCTAATTTCTCCCCCTAACCTCTGAACATACATTTGTTTACATATGATGTGATTTTAAAAATAACAAAAATTTGCATAGGAGCCCTCCCCCAGGCAACAAGTATGGTAAGTGAAAGCAATAAAAACTTTGAAGGGAGCAGTGAAGATGGGGTGAAAGCAAAGGTTTATTGCTGCCTGTCCATAGGAGCTCTTCTGAGATCCTGAACATAGCCACACTCAAGACTCCAGTGCCAATTAGAAATCCTTCCTCAGTTTGCCTGCCTTGTAATTTTACTGCTAAATTCATCAGGCCTGAGGCACTGTTTGGATCTGTTAGACCAGGGGTAGGGAACCTGCAGCCTGGAGGCCACATGTGGCCCTCTAGGTCCTCAGTCATCTTTGATTCAGTCAAAGGGCTGCAGGTGTTCCACCCCCCCCCCCACATATGATCGGCTCCTTGATAGTAAGGATTGTTGCACTCTTTGTATCCTGGCACAGACCCTGGCACACAGTGGTTGGTGCATAGGCACTTTACAGTGCTTGGTGACTAAGTGATTGACCAACCCCATGACACAT